GTTCACTCTCACAGATCCAGCTGCTCTGTGAGAACGACTGAAGCAACAAACAGACTCCAGTTCCTGTTAACCTCTCATCAAAACGCTGAGAGCAGCTGTTGTTAATCTGACCAATCACAGTAAAGAGTTCAGCAGGTAACAGGTGTGTCAGGTTAAGTCACACATAAATGTCTACATAAAGGTGTAGATGGTGCCAGACTAAATCATGTCTAACATGTTGGCGTTTCGTCTTTGTCACTGTCTCATTGAACTGCTGTTCAATGATCACCACAGACTACTGACAGGGGTCAAAGGTGAATTTGGAAGGAAGATCTGGTTTGAGAATATTCATCAAACAATCGTTTCTGTTGCTGATCCCACTTGTGTTCAGGCTGACTCGGACATTCATGGTCTCTGTGGATGTCAGCAAAGCTATCATGACTGATTTTGAGCTCCTGGATCAAGTGTCCAACTCCAGGCCTCGAGGGCTTTTAGATCTCACCCTGGGTCAAACACACCTGAATCACATGATTGGTTCATTACCAGGCCTCTGGGGAACTTCAAGACATGTTGAGGAGCTAATTTAGCCATTTAAATCATCTGTGTTTAATCAAGGACACACATAAAACCTGCAGGACAGCAGCCCCCCAGGCCTGGAGTTGGACACCCCTGTCTTAGGCTACGTTCACACTGCAGGTCTTAATGCTCAATTCTGATTTTTTGATCAAATCCGATTTTTTTGTCTGCTCGTCCAACCTACAAATAAAATGCGACAGCAAACTCTAGTGTGACCCCTCAAAGTGGCCCGCATGCGCAAAAGAAGACGTCACACACAACGCGCTTTGTTTAGACGCAGACCAAACAGTATGTTTGACTGATGGCCCTTAATATAAAGACTTCGGGCTTCACGTTTCCCAATTTTTGCTTCAAGTTATTTTGTTATTTACATAATAATGTAGATAACCTAATAATTATCCTTATTGCTGTTTTAGAGGAGCGGTGCTTCAAAGGATAGTTGCAGATTTCTGTCAGAATCTGCAGATTATACAGTACA